TACTGAAGCATATCAAATAGCAGGGTGATGTAATCAGGTTGCATTTTTTAAAGATCCCTCTGATTACAGTATAGGAAACAGATTAGAAGGGGACAAAGTAGACTGGAATAAACCAAGACTAGGAGGCTACAGTAGTAATCCTGACTAAAAACGCTAGTAGTTTAGACTAGGGTGGTGATGGATTATAAAAAGTAGATGCATTCAAAAGACAACCAGATTTGCCAAGAGATTTATGTTCATAGATTAAAATTCCTAAACTAGAATTATTGGGTCAAAAAAAGAACATTTTAAGGATTCTGATATACATTGCCAAGCTGTCTGAAATTTTAAGTTCCTTGAAAATTCCTTTAACATAACTAATCCATATTTCCTTCACAAAGTCTTCCCTGACTCCCCTTTTTGCCTATATATAGAACATGTCTCCCACTGGCCCCTTGCTCTATCTTACATACATTTCTATAGTCCAGTCATGCTGCATTTGACTTATGTTTACATGCCCATCATCTCTATTATATTGTGAACTTCTGGAGGGCAAAGCTGTTCTTAAGAAAGGCACTTAAAGCTAAAACAACTTGCTACTCAGGGCTTCAAATACCTACTAAAAACAAGTTGACCAATTTGTGATGAGTCATTAAATTTCCATAGTGTTCCTGAAAATCTCCAATAATTGTAATCAAATAGGTGTTATATGATCTTAAAATATTTTTAAATAGCTTAGTAAAAAACAGATTATGAACAAAGCAGATTCGATTAGAGAATTTTTTGAACCTGAGTTGATAAACACTAGTTTTCAAAATTATTCTTATTGCAAATTTAACTCCAATTTACCAAAAAAAAAAAAAAAGAGGTTACTCTGGTAGTTTCTTATATTTAATTTTATGATATAAACGATGAAAACATGTTTATAATTTGAATAAGCATCTACATAAACTTATATAACATTTAAGAATTATCAATTTCTTATGTTGAAACACTTGATTTCACGGCTAACTGCATCTAGAACAATCTACCAAAACATTCACTGAGCTAGAGGAAGTGTCAGAGTTCCTTATAGCAATGTTAAAGACAAGCAGCTCCCTCTATAGTCTGTCTGGCCTACTTTGTTTAATTACTTGCTTTGTGGACGTCTCACACTTTTCTATTTACTCCTACTCTGCATCTCAGCAGGCAAGCTCTTTGAAAGGATAATTCTGTTTAACCTGGTGCTGAGGAAACTGCCAGAGCTGTCTAAACTCAGCATGAAGTGAGTTACATCAAGCAACTAAGCAAGAGTTGAGATGTGGAAAATGGACAGCTTCCCAAGTTCACCTGAGTAAAATCCTCAAATGAAGCCCGATACTTTTATTTGTAGTGAATTCTCTGTGTGGTCACACCTATATTCAAATCTAAATGAAAAAACATTGTCCTATACTTTATTCATAACCTTTCTTCCCTCCATTAAAACAAATTACCAAAATGTTGTTACAAAAGAAACAACTGATTTCTTCAAAAAATGATATTGCTCAATTTGATTATGTCAAAATAATGTTCAAGACATTTTAAAAACTAGTTATAGAAATACAAAGGAAGTTTTTGTTTTTTAAAAAATTTCGGGGCCGGGCCCGGTGGCTCACACCTGTAATCCCAGAACTTTGGGAGGCCGAGGCGGGTGGATCACGAGGTCAAGAGATCGAGACCATCCTGGTCAACACGGTGAAACCTCGTCTCTACTAAAAAAAAATACAAAAAATTACCTGGGCTTGGTGGCGCGTGCCTGTAATCCCAGCTACTAGGAGGCTGAGGCAGGAGAACTGCCTGAACCCAGGAGGCGGAGGTTGCGGTGAGCCGAGATCGCGCCATTGTACTCCAGCCTGGGTAACAAGAGTGAAACTCCGTCTCAACAACAACAAAAAATTCCGTAACTCAGATGAAGAAACTTTAAGTGATTACCTTAGGAATCAATATCTATCCTCAGTTGGCAAGGGATTAAATCAGTCAGAATTTACCATTCAAATATAAATATCTCACCTTTAAAAAAAAAAAAAAAAAAAAAAGACAGGGTCTTGCTCTGTTGCCCAGGCTGGAGTGAGTGTGGTGGTGTGATCTTGGCTCACTGTAGCCTCAGCCTTCTGGGATCAAGCGATTCTCCTGTCTTTTTTTTTTTTTTTTTTTTTTTTTTTGAGACGGAGTTTCGCTCTTGTTACCCAGGCTGGAGTGCAATGGCGCCATCTCGGCTCACCGCAACCTCCGCCTCCTGGGTTCAGGCAATTCTCCTGCCTCAGCCTCCTGAGTAGCTGGGATTACAGGCACGAGCCACCATGCCCAGCTAATTTTTTGTATTTTTAGTAGAGACGGGGTTTCACCATGTTGACCAGGATGGTCTCGATCTCTCGACCTCGTGATCCACCCGCCTCGGCCTCCCAAAGTGCTGGGATTACAGGCGTGAGCCACCGCGCCCGGCCGATTCTCCTGTCTTAACCTTCCCAAACAGCTAGTACCACAGGTGCACACCACCAAGCCCAGCCTATACATACATATACATATATTTTGGAGAGACTATGTTGCCCAGGCTGGTCTCCAACTCCTAGGCTCAAGTGATCCTCCTGCCTCCACCTTCCAAAGTGTTGGGATTAGAGGTGTGAGCCATGACACCCAACCAAGATTATCCCTCTTTTTAAAAATACCTTTTCAAATTTCACCAACTCGAGATATGGGAGTTTTTTAACGCAAAACACTTTATTTCTTAAATTACTCAAGATATGTCCTCAAAACACAGAACAATCAAAAGTCAACCGGACTGTTTTCTAAAGCAGAAAAATTACTTTTCATGCAACAGGAAAACTGAACTAGTAAAAGGTATTAATCCAATCTGTTCAGAATTTATAATTCTCAATGGCCACTTTGAGAAAAAATACCTGTGGGTGCTATTTTTCAGGATCTCATTTGTAAGGCAAACTTAATTTTAAAACATTTTCTCTCCGAACCAAGGTAAAGAATGAAGAATCTCCCAAATTAATTTCTATATATGAAAGAAATATGCTTATGGCATTTTATGTAGCATAGGTTTATCATATGTTACACATTTTTATTACCTTACTTTACTTGTTAGTAAAGATATAAACTATGATACGAGGATATAATATAAATGTTTATATCTTTGTACATTATGTTTATATCTTTACTTTCAAACAAATCTGTCTTCATTAAAAATTTAGCATTCAGAGTTTTACTAAGCCAGACTGGCCTCTCTTTTATATTAGCAATTTTCAAGTTATATTTTACTGAACTAGTTTTCTTTGAGATAATTCAAAAGCAGATAACTCTGCAATTTTTGATTATGTTTAATTAATACTAATCTCACTGGGAGTTTCTGACACGCTAAAAATACTGGCTTGATTTATGAAAAGTGTACTCTAAATGTATGCCAATGACTTCAAATTTTTTTCTCTTGCTAAAACAAACATTTTTATTGGAAACTGTGATATAGCAAATTCAATTTGATAATCCTTAACAATTTAAAATTTGAGATTCTGTGTACCAAGTTTTATGTCTTCCAATGTAGTATAAAAAGTGTTACTTTTTAATTCATTTAAAATATAAATTTCAAAGTATATACAAAAAAAAAAGAGTGGGGTTTTTTAGTCTTTGGTTTTTTGTTTGTTTGTTTAAGGGGCTGGCCATCTATTGTGAAACATCCATAAAGGATAAAATAGGAAATAGTTAATGTGTCTTTTTTAAAATATTCAAAAAAACAAAAGTATACATTACTAATTTTTTAAGAAACATTTTCTCACGTAATTACAGTTAGCTTATAGTGAAATTCATTTATTTCCACAAACGAAACTTTCCTATAAAACAGAGCTTGAATATCACTTAGGGAAACATATTTAATGACTTGTGTGGAGGAGAAAAAATTATGTGTGGAAAACTAACTGAAACCATACAAGCTGTAATACACAGAAATGCCACCGTATATCCTATTAGCATGTCACTTTATGATTCGGAAATCTGGCTGAACAGAGCCATATCAACTTTACTATCTTATCCTTCCTCTGCATCTAAAGTGAAAACAAACTGCATTACACTGAAATTCCAATTAGAAACAAAGACAGCACCACTATATTTCAAAGGGCAGAAAAACCTATCTTTTAGAACACTTCATCGCCTCGATTTCCCCGCCTCCAAAGTTTCAAGTGTTACACTTTCAACACGTTGAAAGCACTCAAATTCTCCATCTTTCAAGGTTCAATATCAAAATCACATTCACTAGTTTAAAAAGAAATATGCTACCAAATCTCACGACATTGACATTTTAACAAAGAAAATTCACATTAAAAGATAACTGCTTAGAATGAGGGCTAGTGTTTGGGAAAGCGCTTTTATCTTGGTAGTCCACAGAAACTGACTGTAGTTAATAAGATGAATGGTGATGAGGGCAAGGAGCATCAAGTGGGAAATGCTATCTAAAATCCCACAGGGCAATTCATATCTAGAGGGATGAGCATCCTTTCCTAGGACGCAGCTCCATTATTTCATGGAAGCAGTTCAAAGCATGCATAAACGCAAGACCATTTTAAAACACCTAGTAAATGTGGCCTCTATCTTTTTTATATTATCAACAACCCCAAGAGTTTTTGAGAACGTATCTTCTGTCACTGCTGTCTCCCCACCCCACCCCTTCTTCAACACAGTTGTGTTTAAAAACATACACCTGTACTTAAAACGCAATCCTACAGCCCAGCCTAGAAGCATTTCAAAATGTCTGTGCTGCCGAGTCTGGCTGTGATTCCTAATAAATTCACCCCATTAAGTGCGATGGTCTACGTTAGGCGATATAATCACGCATTTCCTACTTCCATGGATGCACATTTCCCGAAAGCACTGCACCTGAGGATGCTACCCTGTCCCCAGACGCTCAGGCACTGAACTCTAAGGAGTCACGACCTGCTCTCACAGCAGAGCCACACGGTCACCCCAGTGAGAAAGATTATCTGGCCCCAGGCGCCACTCTGTTCGGCCCAATGCCTCTCCAGAAGGGGCAGGGAAGAGCGAGGGTGACAAGAGGCCAAGAGCGACTGACAAGGCTGACACTTCCCCTTTTCCTCTCCAACCCGCTTCCAGAAAGCGGCACTTGGGAGACGCAGGGGCCGTCCCGGGTCCCGCCAGCGACCGAACTCAGAGCGGGCCCTACGAACCCGCCCACCGAAGGACATGGCGCGGCCACCTGGCCAGTCCTCCGAGGCGCTCGCGGCATTCTTTCCCCCGGCCCGCGCCCCGGAGTGCGGCTCCCGCTCCCGGCCGCCGCACGCAGTGTAAACACTCGGCGCCCGCCGCCTCCCTGCCCGGCGGTGGGGGCGACGCGCAGCGCTCGCGCGGACCCACATTTTTGCGCCTCTAGTCACGCACTGGAGGAAAGGCGAGGAGGGCGGAGGGAAGGGAAGACGCGGCAGCGATCCACGGAGACGGCCGGCGGCGTGCGCGCGAGTGCGCCGCGGGGAGGGCGGCCCCGGCGCCCCGCCGGCTCCGGCTCCCGCTCCCACCCCGCGCCCGCTTACCTGCCGGGGTCGCTCCGAAGACTCGCACCACCGGCACCTTCTTGACAGGGGCCTGGGTGAGGGGGGATTGGCAGGTATCCAGCCCCTGCAGCGGGCTGGCCATGTAGTAGTCTGCAGTCACTATCCTCACTGAAAACATGTTCGCCGCCGCCGCCGCCGCCTCCCTTCACTGGCGACCCGGCAGCGGCAGCAGCAGTGGCAGCAGCAGCGGCGGCGGCTCCCTCCGCAGCGGCCGCCCCACAGCGGCGACGGCGCCCCCTCCCCTCCTCGGCTCGGCCCCCTCCCCTCACACACACACACACACACACACACACCCCGCGAGGAGCGGCGGCGGGCGGGGCGGTGTGGGCGCTGCTGCCGCTGCCTCCTCAGGAGCACCCGGCGAGGGGCCGCAGGAGAGAAGCCCTCGCGATTTCGTCGGTGCTGGTGCTGCCGCCACTGCCGCCGCCGCCGGGAATCACACGGGCTTCTCGGTCCCAGGCTGCAGCTCTTGTTGCCATGATGATGATGTCACGGACGCAACCACTGGGGGAGGGAAGAGGGGGGTGTGTGTGTGGCGGAGGGAGGGCTGCGATTAGTGCGGGGGAGGCGGCTCGGCGGGAAAGGGAGCTCGCAGGCGGGCGCCGGGGCGCGACACGGAGGGCGGGGGCCGAGAAGGTGCTTTCTCTCCCGCCCCAGGGCGCGCGTCGAGGGAGGCGGCGGGCGGCCGGCAGGGCCCCTGCGGGATCGATGACTCGGCCGGCGGGCACGGTCACCTGGGTGAGGGGCAGCGGAGGGGACGGCGGAGCACCGATCGCACGGATGGGCTCCGAGGGGCTTGCGGGAGGGGGGCGCCAGTGTTCGGAAAGGTTTTGGCGGCTACGGCGTATTGGCCGGAGCGGCGGTGCTCGCACTCGCCTCGCCGACCGCCATTTCACATCCAGCAGAGAAGGCGGGGGCAGCCGCGGAGACGGTTTTTCACTAGGTAAGAAAGCCCGCCCGCGGGAGGCGGGGGGCGAGGCGCAGATCTCGTGCCGCCGCGGCCTCGCGGGAGGGGAGGGCGAGCGGGCGGGCGGCGAAACGGGCGGGGCCGGGCGCAGAAGCAGCCGGCCCTTCTCAGGTAACGCCGCGGCTTCGCGCGTGTCCCGGGGGCGGTGCGGAGGGCGGGGGCGCGCGGGCGCGGGCCTCGGCCTATAAACGGGCCGCCCTGGTGCTCCCCCCTTCCCGAACGCGCCGTGTGAGCCGTCGCGCCCCCTCCTTTACGCTGCTGCAGTGTCTGCGCCGGGCCATTTAATGAGATTTATTCACACACGGCTCTTCTCGGCTTTGCCAGGGGTTGGCAGATGTAGTGCACAGGGCTTTCCCATCACTGTGTTTTTCTCCCGCCCCCTTCCTTCCTCTCGCCCTAATACATCCTTCATTGGTTTCCTTGGCCGGGCAGGCTGCGTCCCGGGCACGCGCAAGTACATGTAAGGACTTGTCAGCTCGCGATGACCTCCCTCCTTCCTCGTCCCCTCCTCCCCCAGCGGAATGTAGGATTAACAGCCTTTCAGAAAAAATTTTGGCCAAAGAAAAAGGCCCGTGAAAGTCACCGCGTTAGACGTGGCCTCCTGGTGTTATTCACTAAGACGTTATGCAAGGTTTTACTACCTGAAGGCATAAAAGCGCCACAGTGGGGAGGGGCCGTTTTGAATGAACAACTTTATTCAAAAATCGAAAGGGGTGAAGCGCTGCAGTTAGGGAATTTTTATTTAAACGAATAAGTAACATGCAGCTGGCTTGGCTATTAAATTGGAACCAAGGGGTTCCTGTCTGACTTGACCACTGATACTGGGCGTGACCTTGGACAAATAATTTTGTTTCTTTGGGCTCAGTTTATATACATGTAAAACGGGAAGATTTCTCGTAAAAACTAACCCTGAAGGGTTTTTTTCTCAACAAAATGATGTGAGCTGTTGGAGGCAGAAAGCGTGGGTTCAGGTTCGAAATTTGCCCCTGAATTAGGACCCTTGACACATTTCTAACCCATCCAAAGTAGAGATCGTTCTTTTACACTTATGTGTTATACAGGTGCGTTTTAATGGTTACCAGGTTGCCATGTGTTTGAAGTGGTGTGAGAGCTACTCGTTTGGAACCGTTGTGGATTTTCAAATAGGAAAATCAAAAGGCCCGAAGGGACGGGTCACTGGTAAGAAACTGTCTATAAATTCCTTGACATATAAATGCTAATAAGAACTTACGCTTCGAGGGACTTGAAACTGATTACTACAGTAAATTAGCCTGCAGTTTTTAACCTCAGAGCATGATTATAACATAGGTGGCAAGATTCTGTTCATATGCAGGAAATTAGCTAATAACATTTTAAAGGGGTAAAATCTCTTAAGTTGATTTGAAATTTTAGAAGGCTATAGAAGTCATTTTAAAATACGACTACCATGCTAAAATATATTTTCTATAAAATAAATATTTTGTACACGCCGAATGTCAGATGCACAATACCAGTGATTCTCAGTGTTCCATGACACCTAGAATTCTTTAAATGTTAACATTTTAGCTCTTACTGGATTACATTTTTGGGGATGGGGCCTGGGAATCTGTATTGTTGGCAACACTACCTGCCACCCCCGTGATTCTTAAGCAAAATAAAGTTGAGAATCATTGTATTATATTATAATCAAGTGTATCCATAACTTTTAAATTATAATACTCTTAACTAGAAAATGGTAAAAGCATCAAATTAACAGATTTGCTGTTTCTGGAAGAGGGTTTCTTTCCCCTTACTTCTTGAATCAACATTATTTAAGAAAAGGCAATTGCAACCCCAAGTCAAATCCTTTTAGAACTCCAAGAATGTTCAGTCTTGAAGAAAAACATTTGGAGCATGAAATTAGGAATGTTGTGTTTATTACATGTAATTTAGTTTTAAGTTGATGTTCAGATTGCAAATCTGATAATGCAAATCCCTAATTCACCACTATCAAATGTTTTATGAATATATTCTTCCTGAAGTAAGAAAAAGTTCTGGAATTTGACTCAGAATGTGAATTTCAAACCATCATTTAGCTAAGTGATCACTTATTATTTGGAATTTATTTCCTTCTCTATGAAACGGATAGTAATTCCTGTTTTAACTTCTCAGGGATATTATAATGCTCAAATCAGATAATATATGTGAAAATATAGTAAAATATTCATATTCAGAAATCTGACTCATTGAAAAATAGTAACATCACTTGGGATTTCCTTATATACACACAGTATGAAAAATGCAACAATTGAACTCTATACTTAATATCTTTAATGCATTTTTTTTTAGTGGCTGTTTCTTGCCAGGAGATTTGAGCTATGGTGAGAAACAAAACAGACATGGTCCCTTCCCTTATGAGGTTTATAGTCTAGCAGCCTAAAAATGTGTTTTAATTGTATCAATTAACATTTATTCATCTCCTCTAGTTCACAGACGTATACTTACCATGTCTGCCTTTAGTAAAAGCCTATCAAGCCTTCTTTACCAATACTGTTCAACGTCTGTTAACATCTGCCTATTAGTTTATAATCTAGAACAGATAGTAGTAGCTACTATACTTTCGTGGTAAATACTATAAGATGGCTTATTCAGTATTCATCCAGCCCACTTCTTGCTTGCTTTTCTGTCCTTTAAAAACGGGGGGGAGGGGGGAAACCTACAGTTCTCAGACTCCCTTGCCACTAGATTGCTGGCATGAGATCAATGGTGTGATTAGTAAATGTTTAACAATGACTGGAGAAGGGGGAAGGCCTTAATTTGTAGCATTGGCAAATGCGGGTTTGCATTCTTTTTTAGGGACAGGGTCTCACAGTGTTGCCCAGGCTGGTCCTGAACTGCTAGGTTTCTCCCACCTCAACCTCCCAAGTAGTTGGGACTATGTGGTACAAATATGCCCAACCTACCAGAGTGACTTCAGTGAATGTGGAGTTAGTTGGAAAGTATGCTGACAATCAGAAGCTGGCTTTAGTATATGATCTAGTTTCCAACAATCAGATGTACCCATTCAGGACATTTATGTGACAGCAAGCAACGTGATGCTTCAGCTGCACTCTGGGATATCGTATTTTCTGACAAATACCACGAAGGACGGATCTGGTTCCTCTGGGTAGGTAGAGAGGCATTGTGGCATCTGTTCTACAGTCTTAGGTGCTGACTGGCAGGCAGTGCTGGGATGGGTTTCCACTAGGATATCCTTGTGATGTGGGATGGGTATTCTTTGTGGCATGATCTTTCTTGGATGTTGTTTCTAGCTATGTTTATCCAAGTCTGATATTCTGGCTCTCTGAGAGATCTCTGAGCTAAATATTATCTTTTAATCTCTCTGCTCAAACTAGCCCAGTCACAGTCAGCTACATAATTTGTGGGGCCCAGAGCAAGATGAAAATGTAAGGCCTCTTGTTCCAACACAGGGGAAAATGTGTTGTTATCTGTACTAAAATATAAAGCATTTTCTTCTGTCATCGCTCCCTCCACTTGTCATAGTGTTTTTAAATTTGCTTTTTAATGTCATTCAACAAAAAATTAAATTTTTTAATTCTTAGGATGAATTTTACCATTCATCTTTATATTATGTAATGTGATTTTAAAATGTAAATATAAGAACATTTCAATTGTATGTGGAATCACCAAAATTATACATTCATAGCTTGTAAATGCATATGTAGTTTGTGCTATCAGCACTGTAAACTCTGCACAAAACTAACTCAACTATTTTTATTTTCCTTCTTGATATGCACACATTTTACCAACATTCTCTGTTTCTGCTTACTGATGAGTAAGGAAGGATGAAAGGAAAGGGAGCTCTGAGTTGCCCTACTTTTCTGTTTCATTCTTTGTCATCATTTTTTGTATAAATGATTGGCTAATAGCAGGAAGTAACAGATGAGTAAGGAAGGATGTGATGTAGTCACATGCGTTCCTTAAGATGCTGTTGCTGCCCTTCTGTGCCTGAAGCAAGTTCTGATTTGAATGCAGAGTATAGCCTCTTGGAACTGTCTATGCCTCCACTAACTCAGTCATAGATGTAGCATGCTTGTCTTGTATTAGCTTTGTTACTCTCTTGAGTTCCTGTACCTCATAGGTCCACCAGAATCCTTTGTCATGAGGCATCATGGAGACCATATGCAAATAGAGTAGCAAGGAAGAAAGGACACATATAATCTCCTCTGCTTGCATGTTTTGCTCTGCTATGCCACTGGTCTTACAAAACAGATAGCCAAACATAAAAGTATTACAATTTTGAAGACAGAGACTGTAGAGCATTAAACCAAGCACTGGGCCCTGTGTGACTATACATGTTGCATGTTGATGAAGATGATGGCTCTGAGCCCTTGGGTTTCTTAAATGGGGCTTCTGGTATTTTGGATGAGACAGTTTTTCATTGTGCAGGACATTTAACATCCCTGGCCCCTGTGCACTACCTGCCACTGTAGCAATAAAAACTTCCTCATGTCTTTTTAAATGTCCCCAAAGAGGAGTTGCTGCTCTCCACTGAACTCCTAGAGTAGACTCCACTATATACAGCTATGAACCATGAGCACTCCAGGGTTGAATTTAAAAGGATTTCAAACTCTCATACCCTGGACAGCAGAATTATGATGACTTTTTCCGTATTGTCAGAAAAGTAATACCACCTACATTGATGATCAAACAAATATTTGGGATAACAACTTAAAGGTGATCAGTGAGTTCCATGTGTAACATACATATAAATGGTAGTTGACTCCAGATAGATGGCAATTTCTGAGAGTTTAAATAAAAGAAAAAAGAACAAAGCACCACAAAAAAGCAAAGAGAACCATCTTACCTTCATTATCTTCATCAGATATCCCCCAGGAAAAACTAAGTAAGTTGTCATAATAAGCTATGCTACTCTTATTATATTGGAGTTGGAATTTAGTTCCATTGTGTCCCTTTTTTTTTTTTTAAGGTATAGTTCTTGATTTAAGAATATTAACCTTATCAGGGCCAGGCACAGTGGCTCAAGCCTGTAATCACAGCATTTTGGGAGGTCAAGGCAGGCAGATTGCCTAAGCCCAGGAGTTCGAGACCAGCTGGGCAACATGGCAAAAATCCATCTCTATAAGAAATAGAAAAATTAGCCAGATGTGATGGTGCACACTTGTAGTCCGAGCTACTTGGGGGCTGAGGTGGGAGGATAGTTTGAGCCTGGGAGGTCAAGACTGCAGTGAGCCTAGAGCCTCATGAGCAAAGGATTCTGGTGGACCTATGAAGTACAGGAACTCAAAAGAGTAACAAAGTTCATATTAGACAAACATGTTACATCTATGACTGAGTTAGTGGAGTCATAGTATTGCCACTATGCTGCAGCCTGGTCAGCAGAGTGAGACCCTTTCTCAAAAAAAAAGAAAAAGTTCTAGCTCTGTAGACCTAACTCTGTCTTTGCTAACTGTGAACTTCAGTTTCTATGAGTCTCGGTTTTCTCGTCAATAAAATGGGGAAAACTTACCTTAGGTTCTAAATCATTTCAACAAAAGTGATTTTATTTAAAAAGTAAGTTTACCAAGAAACATTTAGTGGCCAGGCACGGTGGCTCACACCTCTAATCCCAACACTTTGGGAGGCAGAGGCAGGAGGATTGTCTGAGCCCAGGAGTTTGAAACCAGCCTGGGCAACATGGTAAAACTGTCTCTACAAAAATTAGTGGTCAGGTGCAGTGGCTCACTCCTGTAATCCCAACACTTTGGGAGGCCGAGGTGGGTGGATCACCTGAGGCCAGGAGTTTGAGACCAGCCTGACCAACATGGAGAAACCTTGTCTCTACTAAAAATACAAAATTAGCTGTGTGTGGTGTCCCATGCTTGTAATCCCAGCTACTCTGGTGGCTGAGGCAAGAGAATCGCTTGAAGCCGGGAGGCCTAGGTTGTGGTGAGCTGAGGTCACACCACTGCACTCTAGCCTGGACTACAAGAACAAAACTTCATCCCCAAAACAAAACAAAACAAAAATTAGCCAGGCATGGTGGTGTATATTTGTAGTCCGAGATTGTAGCTATTTTGGACTGAAAGGCTGCTTGGTTGAGAGGTGGGAGGATCACTTGAGCCCAAGAGGTTGAGGTTGCTATACCACTGCACTCTAGCCTGGGGGTAGAGCAAGACCATGTCTCAAAAAAAAATTTTTTTTTTTATTAAATATATTCA